CAAAGCTTGTTGACATGAAGCAGAGACCTCCGCAGCCGGGCTCACCCTTTTGGACACCGAATTGGACGCTTAGCCACTGGGGCGTCATGGCGACCGCGATGGCTTCGATTCTTTTGGCCGTGCTTTACGCCACTGGCACCACGGCGCTGGAAAATGGCGTGGGAAAGCTCCCGGCGCTTGGATTCAACAGTGAGTGTCTTCCCATCACCATGCGCAGATTGATATTCCCGTTCTGACTGTCGGCAGCGTGGAACATGTGTAAGCATCAACTGAACTCGACCCGCTGATTCCCCCTCAACATTTCTGTCTTTGCGCGGCCTTTGCTCCCCATCACCGGGAACCACTGCAGCCCAACGGGGAACCTACAGCTCACACCGTTGTCAGACCAATGTGACTACACTGCCGAGATTTTGCTTGAGCAGGCGCATGCCATGGTTGACCACGGTCTCGTCAAGGCTGGATACGATGTGAGTTGTCTGCGCCCACGATGCAACGGAGTGTCAACGATTCAGGGGCTAATCGGTACGTGTCGGGTCTAGACGTTCATGCTGGACGATTGCTACAGCCTGAGGGAGCGAGACAAAAAGGGGAGGATCGTGGAAGGTAAGCAGAGCATTCGAAACTGAGACTGCACCGCCCCTTGTCACTAATGCCGCCACAGACCCCGAAAAGTTCCCCAAGGGCATGAAACACTTCACCAAGTCTCTATCCAAGCTTGGCCTCCGAGCGGGCATCTACAGCAACGCGGGATACCGCACGTGTGGCGGTTTCCCGGGCTCGTACGGACACGAAGCCCAGGACCTCGAGACGTTTGCCCACTGGGGCTTCACCTACCTCAAGTACGACAACTGTTACATCCCCTTTGACAACGTCACGCAGGAGAACGTCTACGGCCGGTATGCGCGCATGTCGGACGCCATCGCGGCGCGGGCCAAGAAGACCAGGTCGACGCCGTTCCAGCTGGCGCTCTGCGAATGGGGCTGGCAGCAGCCGTGGATCTGGGGCGGGCGGCTGGGCCAATCGTGGCGGATCGGAGGCGACATCCGGCCGTGGTGGTCGGCCCTGTCCAGCATCATCAACCAGGCCAGCTTCATCGCCAGCGAGACGCGCTTCCACGGGCGCAACGACCTGGACATACTCGAGGTCGGCAACACGGACCAGGGCACGCCGCCGGGCAACCTGACGTACGACCAGGCCAAGTCGCACTTTACCGCCTGGGCCCTGCTCAAGTCGCCGCTGCTCATCAGCTCCGACATGAAGACGGCGACCCCGGAGACGCTCGAAATACTCGAGAACAGCGACATACTCAAAATCAGCCAGGACCCGCACGTGGGCGAGGGCATCGCGCCGTTCCGGTGGGGGCGGAACCCGGACTACACGTGGGACCCGGACCACCCGGCCGAGTACTGGACGGGCAACTCGTCGTACGGCGTCGTCTTCATGGTGCTCAACACCGAGGACGCGCCGCGGCAGATGACGTTCAACCTGACGGAGAGCTGGGCGATCCGCGCGGGCCGCCTATACGACGTCTACGACCTGTGGGCGCACAAGAAGACGGGCACCGCCTACCGCAACATCTCGCTCGAGCTGCCGCCCCACGGCGTCGCCGCCCTGCTGCTCAACGACGCCGGGCCCGAGCCCGAGGGCCTGGAACCGTACTGCGCCGGCTACTGGCAGTGCAGCTTCCCCAACGGGACCTACTACAGCAACTAGGAGGGAGGGTGTGTAGAATCCTAAGGTAGTGTCGTCGTGCCAGTATAGGTACCTACCTTACTGTCAGAATACCAGCACCCCGTGTCATCCTGTTGCAGTCCTTTACGCAATCTTTGTGAGATTTTGTTGTTGTGAAGTGAGCGAGCAAGGATGTTTCCTCATAGGGGTGCGTTCTACATTCACCACTGGCAAATCGAAAACTACACACGATTGCAATCGGGTATGGTGTAGCGGTAACATCGTTGACTCTCACTTCTCAGGAGTGACTGCTTCCTCAACAGCCCCGGGTTCGACTCCCGGTATCCGAGTAAGATGTTTTTTATCATAATCTACCCGATTATTACGAAAACCATTTCTCAGGTCTAGCAATTATTTTGCATTTTTTCTCTCCTTTGTCAGCTCTCAGCTAAAGTCTAACTAACGTTATTCGAAAGGCAATCAAGTGTTGAACATTCACAAAGCACACTCCTGCAACAAAGCAACAGAAACCGTTTCGGCTTAAGGCTCACCCAGAGTAAGTATGGTAAGCTGGTTTCTCCTTATGAAAATCAGAGAGAATGGTAAGGATTTACGACGTAAGGTGCAGCACACTAATACAACTGAAACCACAGACGTAAATCCATGACGGCTCGTCGTATAAACAGAAAAGAATTAGGTTCCAGCTCCAGCTAATTAGGTACCTTGAGGTATGTAGAGCAGTACCTAGAGATACATTGAGAAGATATTTGAGTTTTTGACTGCGGCCTGTCCAAACAAGAAAATCAAGAACGAGCTAGACTCAGCAGAAAAACTCTCCAACCACTCACCCAACAGTTGAGCTCAAGACTCACAAGAAATGACCAGATCAGCACTTAGCCGGACTAGGCACGTTCGAACACTTGTCCGACGTCTTGCCGCCCCTGACGCTAACACCATCCCAAGTCCAGTCCGAGCAGGCCCCCCTTGGCACAAAGCACGTACACATTCGTCGCGCCCGACGCGACCGAGCCCGTAACGCGCGACAGGCGCAGATCCGTGATGGGAACCCCCGCGGTGGGCTTCCCCGTGGGCGAGCCGTTCTGGTAGTCCTGCTCGACGACGACGCCGTACTTGGAGATGCCCGAGAGTGTAATCCTTTCAAACCGGACGTCCGAGACGGAGCCCTTGGCGCCATAGACCGTCTTGACGCGCACGCCGTTCTGGGAGTTGGTGACGGCCGAGTCGAGGATGCGCACCGTCTTGACCGTGTTGTCGTCGCGCCCGCCGACGGAGCCGATGGAGAGGCCGTGGCCGCCGCTGCAGTGGCCGCCCGTGAAGGTGATGTTGGTGCCGCTGTTGACGGCCAGGCAGTCGTCCTGGTTCTGGACGACGGCGCCCTAGATGTAGACGCCCGTCGAGGAGCCGACGTTGAAGGCGTCTGTGTTGTGGCCGCCTTGGGTGTCGCCGGCTGAGTTGTCGAGGGTGATGTCGTAGCTGAGTGGGGAGGTGATAGGGTCAGTTCGTGTTGCATGGGGGGATCGCCTGAGTCCTGGGGCCGGTTCCAGTCATGATTAACTCACACTCCCAGGTTGGTGGCGCCGTTGATGCTAAAGGCCTGAACAGGCGTGTTCTTGACATCCAGCTTCTTGATGTTGGAGTTTCTCAGGTTGTGGGCATAGAAGAACCTGGGACGCGGTTAGCTGTTTTGGGCCATTGCTGACATGCCCGTAAAGACGTACTTGGGCTTCTTCCTTCCACCGTTGGAGCCCTTGGTGTCCCACCACCTGGCACCGTTGCCGTTGATGACGTGTCTAGAGGCGCCCTCGACGAGGATGTTGTTGCCCGAGACGGAGACGAGAGGGCCCTTCCACTCCTTGTAGCCAAAGCTGGTTGTCCCCGAGAAGATGACGTGGGTTCCGTCCTTGAGGCCGGTCAAGTCGAGCGTCGTTCCCGCCGGCACAGTGATGCCCTTCAAGGTGATGGTGCTGCAGCTCTTCTTGTTCTTGATGGCGGATGCAGCGTCGATAAAGGTGCAGCTGGCTCGGCCGTCGAGCAGGGCTGGGAGCGGGTTGGCAGCCACCAGGGCGCCGAGGGAAAGAAGGAGAGCTGTGGTGGAAACCATGGTGATTTTAGTCTGTAAAGAATGGGATGAAGAAATGTTCTGCAAACGAATGACTATTCCCAAAGACCACGGGAAGGATGCAGACTCTAGAAACCTCAGCACAATGTAGCTGCTGTCGGCCCTTAATGGATGTACAGTCTCCTCATTGCCCTCCTGTTCCTCAATCCCGTCCACACCGATTTATTGCTCACGTAGCAAAGTGGCATTTGTCATGGAATACGACCGGCGTTCACCCGGTGAATCCGCCGATCCATGACATCTGTGGGCCACTAAGAGAGGGCAAAGAGTCTGCTGGCTGTACCACATCACATCTCTGGAGTCTGGACGTCTGCCGGCCTTCGTTCCGTGGTTTTTACTGGGCCGCATGTTGTCGACTGACCCTTACAATCTCGCCCCCGAAGAGAGCGGCCGGCAATCAAAAAAGATTGCCAAGATGGGCCAAGGCTGGGCCAAGGCTTGGCATCTAAGACAAGCCTTTTTGACGGGATATGCCGAGACTCCGTTTTTGTTCTCGTGTTGGGCCATCCACCGGGAGTAATGAAGGAGTTCCGACAAAGCGCAGCGGAGACGGACTCGCAAGCGTGGCCCATCTGAGAGTTGCCGGCCAAAGTACGGGTACCCAAGGGGTTTCTGCTTCGTATAATTACAGTTTGGATCAACTCCAGGCTCGAGTGGGTTCATCCGATGTGATCTCCCCACGCTGATCTCCCGGCTAGCTCCGTCCATGCCCCACACTCAGAGGTTGAGGACCTGCCGTTTGACGAGCACGACCGCAACTTAACTCTTAGTAAACCTTGATAGGTGCGTTTGCTAAGCGATCTGGCCAGTATAACCCATGATTTTCTCGATGACTCTGACTTAAGTCCGTTGATGCGAATGGCCAGTGGTGGGGTTGGCGGTGCAGCACCACGCATCTTGACATCCGCCATAGTAATCATGTTGGAAAAAAGTGCCGTGGCTGACGAAGCGGAGGTTGCGCTCCTTACAGCACCCTACCGTAGCCACTGATTGGTTAAGCTCGTGCCTTGGTTGTGTTGTTTTGTGTTGTTTTGTTCCACTGGTCGCGCATCGGAGACAGTTGTCGCAAGATACCTCCGCTGCTCTCACGTTGACTTTGAAGCCTCTGGGTGACCCTCAGTTGGTGATCCAAGTCATGATCAGGAATTATCCCATTCTAACGAAGGCTGTGTGAAAGAAAAATGATCATCGATCAGAATGGGACTCGAACCCACAGCCTCAGTCTGATTCTCCAAGTAGCATAGGAGGACCACACGCTACCATTGCGCCATCTGATCATACTGCACGTTAGCCGCCGCTGTCCGAAATAGCCGTTTAACAAGGAATTTTGGTGTTGCTGACAACGCCTCCGGAACACTTGCGCCTGAACCCCTGAGCACCACGTCCCCCGACCCAAATCCCAACCTCTCGATTCTCCGAGAAGCTTGGAGGCCAAAACAAATCATCATTCCATGGGTAATCTAAGACCTTCGTGGAATCAAGGCTGATTAGGCAGAAACCTGAGTTATAGATCACATATCGCCTTATATGATTGACTACCTCCAATAACCAAGGTACCTTGGGAAATAAGAAACTAAAGGCAGGGTGAGAGAGAATGAACTTAAGTGGAAGTGGGGAGAGAACAGAAAAATAAAGGAGTAAAAGTTATTCAAGAGACTAGAAGCTGTGCTCGCCGCTGGTCCCCGATACCCTCTGCGTACCTAGGAAACCTCAAAACGAGTGCCAATCAATAGAGCAATAGACACCTACCTGAATTACTGTTATGTGTTAAGAGCATGGTCCAGGAACAGCGCTCTGTCGCAACCGAATCCGACAAACCGAACAATGTAATTATGGAGTTATGTCTCTGGTATCTCTAATGCACTATGCTGTTTTCAAATCCCAAACCCCTAACTCCAGCCTGATAAGCGGTATCCCAGAACACGGGTGATAATTAAAGAGACGAGAGAGAGATGTTACAGTTTAAGCTCAAACTTCTTGACGAGCCGTGGCCCGAACTTATAGAACAAGAGGGGGATCGGGACGAGGCCAAGGGAAATAAAGGCGAGGAGCGAGTTGCCCCAGCCCATCTGGAGGGCTGCGTACATGTCGATGGCGCAGAGCGGGAGGAGAGCCCCGGCCAGCGAGCGGAGGACGGCCAGCGCGGCGGTGACGGAGGCTGCCGCTCTCGGGTAGACATCCAGGAGATAGTTTTGCACGCACATCTGCCCAAACGTGTTAATATTGTACTCAAGGTAAAATAGCCAGTGGAGTTGTGACGTACCATCACACCCATGAGGCCAAAGGAAAAAATGAGGACCCCTATCATGGGCACAATCCAGTGCACATGTTTCTCAATCGTCCAGCCGTAGATGAAGAGGCCGACGGGGATGGTGACGCCGGCAGGGATGGTGAACCAAGGCGTCAGTCTGATCTCGGGACGGTGGCGCTCGCCGCTGTCAAGCTTGCTCTTGACCAGCCTGTCGGAGAGAGCGCCGAAGACGCCGATCCCAAGAGCCATGCCGATCGCGGAAGGGATGAAGACGAGGCCGCTATTTTGTGTCAGTTCAATGCTTCCACTCGGGGCACGTCTGTTTGGCGGCGCAGTCCAACGTACCTCTGTCCCTCGTCGAAGCCGTAGTACCGGGGATACACGATGCCGAACGTCGAGAAGAGCAGGTACAATATTCCGTCTGTTGACAAATCAGTCATGGTGGCCGGCCAAGAATGGGAGGTTCGTGCGGACGACTCACAAGTAACGGCGACGTAGAGAGCCATGGAGGTGACGATTGGAGCCAGGAAAAGCAGCTTAAGCGGCCGAACGATGGCGGCCTTCAACTTTTCGGTAGGGGATGCGGCAGCGCCGGCGAGGGCGCTCCGTAGCTCCTGGTTGCCCGTCTCTTTGCGCAAGCGGGCCGCCTTTCTTTCGAGGATGACGGGGGGGTACGACTCCTTGAGGGTGAAGAAGGTAAACACGGTGACGATGCCGGCGACGATGGTGATGAGCCAGTACACCCACCGCCACCCAGCCGCGCGAATCAGGTAGCCGCCGGCCACGGGGCCGATGCAGGGACCGAGTAGGGGGCCGAGGGCCCAGGCGGCCATTGCTCTTCCGCGCATCTCGACGGGCATCATGTCGGCAATGCTGCCGCTGCCGATGGTGATGGGGACGGAACCGGCGACGCCCATGAGGAAGCGCATGGCCATCATCATGCCGATGCTGTTGCTGAGGGCGGTGCCGACGGTGAAGATGGTGAAGAAGACGTTGCCGATGTTATAGAGCAGCGACCGGCCGTAGATCTCGCTCATTGGCGCGACGACGAGGGGACCGAAGGCGAAGCCGAGGATGTAGACGGATAGGATGAAGGTGGCCGTGATGGACGATGTCTCGTTGAACTCGACCAAGATTCGAGGGATACCCGGCGCAAACATGGACGAGCCAAGGGGACTTTGAACGAGTCAGTCAGACAGGTCCCATAGCATGCTGTCAAGTGGTCGGCTGCGGGTGCAAACTCACGTAATGAGGGTGAGCACCGAGAGAACGGCAATGTTGGACCACTTCTTTCGCATGGTCCAGTTCATTGGGTTCGTGGGGTCGTCAGGGCCATCCCAGAAGACCGTGTTAGGGTCGCTGTCCTCCTGCTCCCGCTTCTCGCCGGCAGGGTCACCTCGGGTGACAAGCTCCGAGTCGGGCACAATGGTCGCGGCGTCGAGGTCCGAGTTCAGCTCGTAGGCGCCCTTCTCGAGGTCGAGGTCGGAGCGCTTGGAGGGAGAGGCGAGTCCTCTTTGCGATGAGCCATCGGCCATGGTGGTGATCTGGAGATGTTGGTCGTCACTCGACTTCCAATCAAGGGACGTCTACAGGAGAATCGGTTTTGGCTGCCGAGAAAAGGCACCCCAGACAAACAAAAGGCCTGCATGGTGTGGCCATTTTATATAATTGCAGCCTCCCAGACCATCGGACTGCCAACCAAACCCGACTCCGGACTTGAGATTTCCTTTCTTTCACGAAAGTCTTGGCAAATCGCGAAACAGCGAGGAACTGTCACCCCTTGCTTGAGCAGCCGGCGGCGCCACCCGGGGCCAAGCCCGGATGCCAGCGCCCGGCAGCACCTCAGAACGAGCCGGGTCCGGGACCTTGGGTCTTGCAGTTGTGCTGATGATGAACTGACAAGCCACACATTTTCACGACCAGGGAAGCCGTTCTCACCATCGACGTCGTGTATCATATTCCAGCGCCTTCCACGCGCCGGGTTGTGAACACTCTTTGACGGAAAAAGTTGCATGGAACCTTTGTCGGGAACAAGCGCTCCCCGAAGGGAGGAAAGAGCCACGGAGTTAGGGCTGGCCCACAATGGACGAAATGCGAAGGCCAGGCCAATCAGATCAGTCAGCCGACCGCCCCGCATGGGACGCCGAGGACGCGTGGAGCCCAAATCTCGCAAATCTCGTGTGCCGCTTCTGGTTCTCGACTTGTCTATCCGCACAGACCCCCTTGTCTTGTTCGCACAGAGAGCAACCTACTTTGGGTAAGAGCCCCACCAGCCTCGACGCCAAAATATTGGCAGGCGAACAGGACTCCAAGGCCAATGCCAGCGATGAGCTGGGTGTTCAAGTTGCGGGCAGGTGGGTGGGGCTATTGCCTAAAGCGGCTGGTCTTTGTGCGAATAAGACAGGGGCTCTGTGCGGATAGACAAGTCGCTGGTTCTGGAACAAAAAACGGAGCCTCAGCCAATGAACCGGCAGCGCTCGGTCTCCAGATCTCGGTTTCGCTTTCGTCAGGTGGGGCGGAAACCCTGGCTCGCCTGGCCTGTTTGTTCCCGTCCTCGCTGCCATGCTGCCACGAGCAAAGTCCTGTACGCCGTCGGAGGACGGAGGTTATGCAGCGCCGATGACACTGCTGCACCACGGCAAGGCACACTTGTCTTCGCCTGTTTGCCACAAACGGTACTTAAGACAGCTGGCATCTCCCCATTATCTCACCCTGCCACTCACCTCCGATGTGCTCAGCGGCGTAGTAGATATAGCAGCGCCTGTTCTCGCACCGGCCCTGAGACGTTCCGAGCCGGTTGACAGGATAGACCATGAGCGAAGCACCGAAACCCTCTGCAACAGAAGCCTGCTAATAACAGAGCTGTAGTCGAAGAATATAACTAAATGGAACTGCAGTTCAAAAGATTCTGCGCGGCATCGACACATAGCTCGACGCCAACTTAAGCATGCCACAATCTCACACTTCGCAGCACAGCTCCCCCATCGGCCTTCCTCTCGACCACCGCGACCCACACCTGGCCGCCTCACCTACGCCGCCAAACGCTACGGCCCTAGGTTCTCGGGCTCTGGCGGCGCCGGTCCTCATGCGATCCTCCACCGGTCCTTCGGGATCCAACACGACCGAGGTCACGTACGAACTTACCCCCGGGTCTTCGTCACAAAAACCGCGCCTCACACCTGGCCTTTTGCGTGCTCCCTACAACACAACAATGCCGAGCCTTGCCCACCGCTGGTGGCGAACTGTACAATATAGCAACCATTCTTGAGTCGAGGCCGTCCTGGTCTGCTGCCCGCGGTTCGATGACGCTGCCGCGACGGGTTGAAGGCCTGCGGACGCCAGAGAAGAGGGTTGTGGACACGGGAACGCTGGCCCAGGACCGCGGTGATATGTTGCCGTTCGGGTTGCTGCAGATGGGCACCTTGGCCACCCAGGTGTGTCTTTCGGTCATGTGGACGCCCGCAGTGAGTGGATTCAACGCCAAATGGCTTGCTGGGGAGAGCTAAGTGGCAAAATGAGGAAAGAGATGAGGCAGGGTTGAGGGAACATGGTTGGCTCTCTGCTCTTCTGGATGGGGGGTTGACGAGCGTTGTGTCGCGCCCAGGCTGCGTGTGAGGCTCGACGTGGAATATCTGACAACCAACAACCCCCAGCAATCGACAAAGGTTTTGTCACGATTGGAGATGTGGAGTTTTAAACTGAACGGCTTGCAGGCGAGGAGACGTGGGTCACAATTCTCGACTGCCAGGACTTCTCGAGTTCACTTCTCTGCTTCATATCCAGCAACGGCCAGCCACCAGCCCACGGAGACCGATTCGTTCTGGGACTGGGACAGGGCACATGTCGTTGGTTGATTTCGGGAGAATCGGCCGCCATATATGGCACAATCGCCAACTCCAGGGTGGGCTTGCCGGCCGGGGACTCGAAGTCGAGTCGAGAGCTCACTTATCTACAAACACGACCCCGCCATCCCACGGACGAACGCCTATTTAGTACCACTATCACAAGAGAGACTGTGATTATCTT